ATATCTTTAAAAATTACTTAATTAAAAATATTTCCCCTCTTCAATAGCTTGGATGGAGCTAGGATGTTAAACCCCATTTACTTCCATTTCTTATTTAAATTTAACAACAATAAGGGTTACAAATGTTCTTTAGGTAGTAATTTAGATGTCTAGAGTATTGTTTCTTTAACCAGAAATTCTGATTCAGACATTATGCCATCAGGTTCCAATCCCCCTCTACCATCTCTATATATACCAAATACAATTAAACTAATTTGCAAATGACATCATGATAAAAAATTTTTTTTTAAATATTTTGTGAATAGCACTCCTCTACACCTGTTTATGTATTGTAATGCATAAATGTTTTAATTTCAGACAGCCCGACTTTATTAGCTATATATTACAGGAAGGAAATACCTGAATGAATGATTGTAACAAGTTCCTACTTTTCTGTACCCACTGGGCTAACAAAGACAAACATATGCCATGCAGTATGCTATGAGGGAAATTATAAATTCCAAGTATCAAGGGTACATGGGACCTTGTTTTTTTTCATCCCATCTAAATGACTAGATGCTGTTCCTTGAAAGGCCTGTTTAACATGGTGACTAGGCGGCGCCACCCGCGCCGCCGCGCACTGGCAAAACTGTGCTGCCTACTGAGCCCAAAAGTTGAAGACTGGGCGGCAACATACATACATTTTGTACATCGCTGACAAGGTTTTTCTCATGTGCCAATACTATATCATGGTGCGTAGGTTAACAAATTGTCTTTCTGATTGTTTTATGGGTATATTTCTGTCTGCGGGTCAGCCGAAGCAGTGTTTTGATCTCAATTTTACAGGGTATTAATCAATCCATGGTTTAACAAGATGCCAAAACTAATAGTGTATCAAATCTTCGAAACTATTTTTTAAGTGCTCAGAAATCAACACCTACTAGTTGTGCTCGCAGGTCGGGCGACCAAATCCTTAGACGAGGCTCTGACCAGTGCCCTACCCACTGAGCCACCGCAGATCCTCTGGCAATAACAAAACAAAACCCCATCCAAACATGTGATATTTCCATTAAAATATGTTTAATATGGTAAGAATGGTAAACGAAGTCAGGTGTTACTGTTTGTAGGTGTCTTATATATTCTTGGTATGTCTCCTCTATTTTTAGTAACAATTTCTTATGTAAACTGTGACTAAGCCTATAAATCTATTTAAAATAAAACTTAATGATTTTAACAGCATGGGATCGCAAAAACATACCGAGTGCATTAGGAAAATCATAAAAATGTTATATGCCTCGTTACCTGAATAAAGATAAATCATGCAATGCTCCATCTATATAAAATGAACAAATTTCATGTTACAGAGATCTATATTCATTTTTTACCAGTAGTAAGATAATCTTAAGAAAGAGAACCAATTTTAATGTACAGTAAAGTACACACAACGCCAGTTAGATCATTTCAGTACTTTATTTCCATAATTCACTAGTGCGCAGGCGATCTTTAGAAGTAGTGGGAGGAAACTGGAGTATTTGGAGGAAATGAGGTTAGGCAACAGACCCTATTCCTTGTTACATATTAACCTGGGAAAGACCCATAACTTAGATAGGTAACATAAATATGCGCAAATTAGACCCCCACCTACCCTTACCATTTTAAATAGTAAAAAAAGTACTATAATTTAGTGCACTCCTAAAATAAGTGAGAAAATGTTAGGAAAATGCGCCAAATTGTAATAAAAAATCACTTTACTTGTTAAATATTTGTTCATGGTCTAACAATAATATTATATTAAATCAGCTACATGTACAATGCCTGTAATATTTCTGATATTTTTCCTTGTAAAATTGTGACATAGATGAAAAATTTCTACTTCATCATGATAGGCGTAGTCAAAGGGGAGAAAATATTCAGGAAAGTACCCACAATTAAATATTAGATATTTACGGTTCACGCTAAGAGATTGGGGAAAGCAACCACAATTAAATATTATACTAAAGCACAATAAAATACTGCAAAGTCTACCATACTATTGTTTTTGCCTCAATAATTTAAAGAATAATTTCCAAAATAAAGTTAAGTGGTGAATACAAAACGATTGGTACATCTTGATATTAAATTTATGCCTTTTTTATCATCAATATATAGCTTTTACAAACAAAATATAAAATAAATCATCAATGGCTAAAACTTCAATGATTTAAAATAACTATAATATATAATTTCATTTTCAATGATAACTGTGTGTGTCTTACTAATATATTACAGCAAAACTATACAAATTGATGGCATCCGTGGTCAAAGGGGAGATAATATTCAGGAAAGCATCCACATTTAACTATTAGATACTAAGGTATAATAGAATATCGGGAATACAAAGTCTATCATACTGTTGTTTTTGTCTGATTAATTTAAAGAACAAATTCAAAAATAAAGTTATGTGATGAATACTAAACAATTTCAAATTTATGTTTTATCATCTATTTGCTATAAGAAATTTGTATAATTTTTACAAACAAAGTATAAAATAAATTATTCCAGACTAAAAATTTGATGATTTAAAATAACTATAATATCAAATTTTATCTTGCATGAAAACGTAACTGTAGATCTTATTACAGCAAAACTGTACATAATGATGACATCCGTGGTCAAAGGGGAGATAAGATTCAGGAAAGCACCCACAATTGATATTAGACATTTACTAAGGCATTATAAAAATACTACAAGTCTATCATACTATGTTGTTAGTTATAAGATTATTATATAATTTTTACAAACAAAATATAAAATAAACTAATCTGTGCTAAAAATTTGATAACTAATTTAATAACTAATTATATTTTCAATGAGAAATTCAACTGAATAACTTATTAAAGCAAAACTTTTAAACTGTACAGAATGATGGCATTCGTGGTCAAAGGAGAGATAATATTCAGGAAAGCCCCAGCAGTTAATCACTCTATTAATAAGACTTACGGTATTAAAAAAATAAATTTAAAATTAAAAGTGGTTATTTTTGTTTAGGGAGCAGCATAGATTGATGGAATTTTAAAATTGTCATATCTTTGTAAATACTTAACGGAATTGAACCATTTCTGACTGATTGAACTTTCACAATATCGTAGTTGTAGTGATAAAATGTAACATGCTAAATAATGTAATTAACTGTGGTGGCTTTCCTGAATATTATCTCCCCTTTGACCACGAATGCCATCATTTTGCACAGTTTTGCTGTAAGAAGGTACTCAGTAGAATTTCACATTGAAAATAAATTATATATCATAGTTATTTTAAATATCATAATTATTTTAGCCCATATTGATTTATTTATATTTTGTCTGTAAAAGTTATATAACTTTCTCCTAACAAATTAATGATAAAACATAGATCTATAATTACAAAGAATCAATAGTTTTGTATTCATCAAATAACTTTATTTGGAAAATATTTCTTTAAATTATTGAGACAAAAATAATAGTATGGTCAAATTTGGAGTATTCTTAGTAAATATCTAATATTTAATTGTGGGTGCTTTCCTGAATGTTATCTCCCCTTAGACCACGGATGCCATCATTCTGTTCTGTTTTGTTGTAATAAGACATACAGTTCAATTCTCATTGAAAATAAAATTAGATATTATAATTAATTTAAATCATTGAATTGAAGGTTTAGCCATCAATATAAAATTATATAATTTGTATTAACAAAAAGATAATGAAACATAAAATTGAACTCATCAGGGATAAGCTTGTTTTGTATTCATCACATAACTTTATTTTGGAAATTATTCTTTAAATTATTAAAGCAAAAAAAAAATAAGATGATAGACTTTGCAGTATTTTATAGTGCTTTAGTAAGTATATATAATATTTAATTGTAGTTGCTTTCTTGAATCTTCCCTTTATTCTGAGCGAAATTATCACTGTATGAAGTTTTGACAAGATGTGGCACTGATTGTTTATTATCGTAAAAACAGTACATGTTATCATAGGCGCACAGGCCAATTTTCTGTGCAGAGCTGTATCATTTTTGCCTAAAAATACGGCGGCAGTGCCGGAAAAATGAACCTACATAACTGTACCACTAAACAAACGTAAAATTTCGAAAAATAACGGTAAGTAACGCCTAGTGGAACAGATTTTTTGGAACTGCAGCTGGAGTTTGAGAACTAGACACCCTGAATCAAATTCAGAATTTGAAACTCTGAAACTGGGAATAGTATCACCCACCCAATTGTCAGTAAAAGTCAGAGATTCTGGACACTTCATTTTGCGGGAAGAATAATTTTCATATTTTTCCTTTTATATCCACTAAAATTTGATTTTTTTCATCATTTGGCCACTGCCGGAAAAATTTGATGATAGCCTGAAAAAAATTGTTTTGTCTGCCTGACTCTGCCTATGCTCATTATTTGGGACTTAGCCTCGCTATGCCATTCTTAAATTAAATCATTAAATGGTAATCATATTTCAATCCATTTAAATCTCCAACCTCCGATGATCTAGAGAGGTGATTATAGGCTTGGCATGTGATTAAATGTCTAAATAATAATTTTGGATAGTCATATTCAGATGGATATTTTCTAAATAACCTAAAAAGATTAAAGTTCCCTTTTAATTTAAAAATACATGTATCGGACAGAATAATGCCACTAGTAGTCAAATGGGAGATAATATTCAGCATATCACACACATTAAAAGAAGTCAGAATAGGCATTTCATTTCATCCAAACTTTTTGACACTGTCAATATTATGGAGAACACCTGTTGGCACTCATACAAATTTGACTCTTTAACACAGTTCAGGTCTTCAGTCAATTACATGCGAGTAGATCCTGTACTGAGGGAGTCAGAACGTGATTTTACTATTAGAGCCAGACTACCAACAAAGTTTCAGCAATGGATATTCATATGGAAATAACTCCATAAACAATACAGCATGGCTGTTGGTTTGCAGACCAAATGAATCAGATGCACTGTGTTAATCTGTACTGGTAACTGTTTCTAAATTAAACTCACCTTTTCAAGGTCTGTATAGAGATCACCAGTTAGACTAGGAGCTTCAATAAAAACTGGTTTAGCATAAGCTGCTTGTAGCTTATCATCTGGATGGATGGGTGACATTTGTTGACTTCCATTATAACTGGATCTAGAATTCCTACTGCCTGGAATATCTCTGGAATTTCTACTGCCTGGAATGTCTCTGGAATGTCTACTGCCTGGAATGTCTGTAGAATGTCTGCTGCGTGGACTGTCTTTTGGGGAATTGTACACGGGTTGAGAATGTACCGCTTCCATGGTTTCTCCAGGAAGACGAGGTGATGGTTGCTGGCTTCCATTGTAACTGGACTTAGAGTTCCGACTACCTGGGCGATCTTGTAAAGAGCTGGATAAGTTGAAACTAGGATGAGAATCAGAATAGCTTAAGCTGGGTTGAGATCCATGATGATATCTGTTGATACTCTCATTTGGTGAATGTATCTGATCATGTAACGAATCTCGTATGGCATATGACTCTCTACCTATATCACTACTATGTTGGGATTGTGGAGATAGTTGACTGGGGTCTGAAATTAAAAAGTTCAACAATATTTGCAATCAAAACACAGAAAAATAAATAAAGTACACGCTCGATGTTCTGGTTTTAAAAAATATATCAGGGTTCTATAAGTGGTGTTTAATTTTACAAGTATATTATTGTCTACGATATCACTTCCGTGGAAGCGGACGTTAAATAAAGCTATTTTACACACACACAAGTATATTATATTTATTAATAATTATTTGTGATACCTGTTCAAAAGTATTTGTGTGTGGGAGGGGGAAATCAGAATCAAATATTGTTTCAAAAAGAATCACTATAAAAATTATCCCTCACTAAATACAACAGGCCCAAATGTCAAGCTAATTTTTAAACATAAGAAATTTTCTGGTCATAAAATATAAAGTAAACAGCAAACAAGATCTGAAAGTTCCTTTTATTTGCAGTATTAAATAAACCAAAGCCGAGTCACTTTGATAGCATATAAAATATTATAAATTTTCATATATCCTGGGAGAGAGGTTCGAGTGTGCTTTAAATCATAAAGTTTGTCATTGATTGGTGTGCCTTTGATCCCAAGATTGTACATGACATGGAGTAGGGTCGTCTGCCCAACCTCATGGGTTTTCTCTGAATCCTCCTGTTTCCTTTCAAGGCTAAAAGATCCCTACGTGCAAGTGAATTATTGAAATCAAATTGAATATGTTAGTCCTAAAATGACCTAGATTGTGTCGAGTGGATGTTAAAACGCATTTCTATCCTCTCCCTGTCATATATCCAATATACTGAAATATTACAATACAACTAGAAGAAATAATACAATTTAATATACACTGCAATGCAATACAACTGTAATACTTATCCCAAATATATAATGCATAGTTTCCATACCTGAATATCCCTGCCCTGGACCAGCAAGAGCAGCAGCTGCATGATAACTTCTCATGGCTGCTATACGTTGTTCTATTTCTGGATATTGAGGAGAATCTTGACTTCCTGTACTTGCCAGTGAGTCCATTGAATCTGGAACAAATTTCATCACCCAAGTTTCAATGCGAGGATTAAAGTTTGAAAATAGAGCTGCTTGCTCACCATGTTCATTTCAAAACATAAAGTAATTGTAATTTAAATAAACTATTTGTTTAATCTTAATTATCAACAAATTAAAACCATATAAATTACTTGTCCTACTATGCCACAATTAGTGTCATATTGGTGGAATTTAAGTCTGAGACTTACGTCTACCAAATAACATTTTTAAATTTCTTAAATTTATACCTGTACACAGCTATTTAAAGATATGTTAATTTTACATTTAACAATAGCCTTAAAACCTAAACCGTTAAGAAACAAATGGCTATAAAGAGCTCAAATACCTCTGATAATCTTTATAATGAGAAAACAATTTGTGTTTTATTAAATTTTGAAATAAAATGATTATGAATTTTATCCAAAGAGAATTCAGGTTGCCATTCTAAAGACAACCCATGGAATTTTTACTCACTGAAAGCAAATTCAAATTGTGATACTTCAGATGTTTTAAATGACAATAAAAAATAAACTACAATAGTTTACCTTGTGGCTGGTGTTTATTTCGGTCGTTGCCAAGTCTTGGTCTTCTGGTTGACAAGCGTTTTGGGGGATCCTGAATGTCAGCAACCTTGCGTCGTGAAGACGTTCGTTTTAATTTGGGTACAAAATTTGGATTACTTCTATTCTGTACTAACTCTGACCAATATTTCTGCAAATCTCCAGCTTTGCGATCCATTCGTCTTAATTTGGTGTTAATATTATCTACAGCTTTTTCTCCTTCCCCACTTCTTGGAATGTCTTGTCTAAATTTAATAAAAAAAAAAAAGATTTCAATTTGTAATTTTAAAGAGCTGCTTTATAAGAGCTTACCATGAGCCGTTCAATACATGTACTAAGTTGTTCCTGTTTACACTGTGTTATATTCTTCATGAGGTTGATGAAGTTTTAAATTAGAGATGCAAACATTAAAGGTCACCAGAAAAGCTTCATAATTTTTTTTAAATAATGCAAGTAATTATGTCAACATATCCTTTCCATAAGGATAACACCTTCCCGATTGTCAATGTTACCTGCGCCACAGTTAAATTTTAATGTTAGCGATTTCCGCCATTCTCCGTGAATAGTCGTAACTTTCTGCCAATATACAAGCTGTTATGTCATTTTAGTCCCTCTACTCACAGAAATATAGACTATAATATGAGCAGAAGGACTAAAATGAAGACATGGCTTGCTTATTGGAGGAAAGTTACGACTACTCACAGAGAACAGTGGAAATCTGTATAAATTTACCTGTAGCAGAAGACATTGACATTCGGGATCATGTTATACTTATGGAAAGGATGTGTTGACATAATTCCTTGCACTATTTTAAAAAAATTATGAAGCTTTTCTGTTGACCTTTAATATAGTGACAGGATTGTAGCTATAGGCAGTGGATGCTTACAGCCTGTCCCGCATCCATTTAATAGTACATGTACTTTTATTGTTTATTATTTGCATTGTGATTGGTTTGTTTTCAGGGTTTCTGATTATGTGTGGCATGGTTCTAACAGAAATTGATATTCCCAGATATTTTGTCAAAATTTGGCATTCATCACATTGGTTAATGACTGAATAAATCCTAAATAGAAATAAACTAGACCAAATGTTAATGGAACTGTTACTGATCTTCAAATATGGATCTCCATTAAATCTGTGAATGCTAGCTAGTCATTTGTCTATTATAGAATTTCCATTAAACTGTAATTAAGTATACATACCTATCATCTATAAGAACAGGTAAACTAATTCTGTCTAACAAAGCTTTACCCATCTGTACAGTATCTTCATAATCTTTTATCACTTTATCTTTAGGTACTTGATATTTAGTAAGAACTTCATCTATTGTAATTTGACGATCTAAAGCTTGACTTATTACAACTAGAATTTGTTCTATTCGATCATTCACCTGAAACAGACAATACTCATACTATCATGTTAAACTAGAAACAAATCTTAGACCAAACCAATATTTGTTAGGCTGTGATTGATGGATTTTGGTGAAGAGTAAGCTGAAATACCACTGTCCTGGGACATTTTTTGTCATTAGCCTGAAGGTGAGAGGGGTCATAATTCTGGCCTACACCTATATCCAATTTTAACTCTGGATTATAAATCCATTGTGAGCACAATCTTAGGTAGATACATGGCCAGAACATCACAGTGGAGTGTTATTTTAGTTTTTTCATATTAAAATAAATGTAAACACTATTCACCTTATCTGATGCTGTCATAAACATGGACGCTACTGTCAGACGGTTAGCTCGTTCTCCAGTTCCTTGAGTAAAATGTTTCCAGGCTTCCTCTAAACGATAGGCACGTTCATTGTTGGGTGCTAAATCATAGCGTAATGATCTACGCAGCACTAAGGCACCTTGAAGTAACTGTTTACCATATTCATATGTTCCCTAAAAATGAAAAGAGACTTGACAAAATTAACAAAATTTTAATAATAGGGTCAATAACTCTCTTCAGGTTAAAAATGACTAAAGTCGAAAATAAAGGTTTATATTGTTTAAACATACTGATTACTTTAAAGTAAATGGATCAGAAATCTTACAAAAGAGTCCTCTCCAAAACAATGTCATTATTTTACAAAATGGCAGTCAGTGAAAAACAAAATAAACATATGTGCATATAAACAAAACAAGAAAAGAATAATGATTTAAGTTTGAAAATGGGCCTCAACTTTTTTTTGAACTTAAACCCAGTCACTCAACATTCTCATAATCTGTCATGAATAAACGCAACTTACCACTGCTGTTGATTCAAATTTTTTATGTTGATCTTGCAGTGTTTCTGATTCTTGTGGACTACGACCTAAATCTTGATGTTCTGTAACCATAACAGTACATAGTTCTTCTATCCAATCAATAGCTTTATCTGCATCACGTTCACATGTTCGTAATTGTAATATTTGTTGTAACTTTAATTTTCTAACACCAGCCAATTCATCACATCGTAATTTCCGTTCTTGTAATTCTTCTAGTTTTTGATTGATATGTTTGATATGACCATCATAGTCTGGTGTGATGTCATTTCCAAAAGCATTTTTAATTGGTCTAGACATTTCGTCTAGTAAACTCTGCCCATCATTAAGGGTTTGTTGAGCTGCGTGATCTGTAAAAAAATATTTTAAATTTGATTAAAACTTATTCTGTTCAACCTGTGTAATGCTATTTTCTACTATCAAGCATATTTCTTTCTCTTCAAGTCAAGGGTTTCTCGTGACTGCCTTTTTTTTGAACAACTATCTTAGATGGACAACCAATTTCATCGCTGCACAATGATGATGGGGTTGATCCTTAGATCTATCCTATAGTCCATACATGATTGTGACAATGCAAGCGTTTCTTGGGTGTTATCTTTATACACACATGCAGATCTCATAAAGAATATTGAAATTTAATATACTCATGTATGATTTATGTTGCAATAAACTTACTTAAAATTTTGATATTTAACTAATTCCAGAATTTATTTTAAAATTAATTTAAAGCAGTATGAAAAATAAATATTGAAACCAATTTAACATGAATGCCAGTGATTGTAATGGCTGAATGAAATTCAGTGTGGGATTGGTTTGGTAATTTTAGTCTGACTTTGAGGGAGGATCAAACTGTTATTGATTCACGGACTGACAAGGTTGTAGAAAAAATTTGACACACCACTAGAAAATAACTTACCAATGTCATCACACATTTGATTTAACTTTTTAATTGCATCTTCTGCTTCTGTTACAGTTTCTGCTGATACATCTGAACAAAGTAATTCTAAAAGTGCATCAAGTTGTTGTGAAAACTGAAAAGAATATCAATAAAACTGCAATTATCCACTAACTTGAACTTGTGTTTAACTGATGAAAGCTCTGCATGGCATCACTGCAGAAAACTGTGAAACCAAACGCTTCGATACTTATGTATCAAAAAAGCTGATTCCCACTAAATCGAATAAAATAATATCGTTACCAGTACATCAAACAAAACTGATTTAGTTCAATTGTTGACTTAAAATCTGTAGTCTGTGCTCCTAAAATGGCTCTTTAATTAAACATTTTGATTTGAAAGACAACAATTGGCGAATCAAATATTCAATTCATACGAGAACACCGAATCAACTAAACCTATATCCATCACTATTGGTTCCATGTAACTGAATTTAATTTGATTGATTCACTTAAATTGTAACTATTATTAATTATATCAAATCTAATGAAATTCTAACTCACGTCTTCTGCAAATCTATGAAATCTAACTGAGGTTATCAGTAGTATTTTTCTTCTTTCTAATCTGGAAGCAAAACTACGACAAACTGTATCCATATAATCTCGTTCTGCCCTTATATCACTTGATGCTGGACTTTCTTCACTTAATAATTCTTCACCTTGATGTCTTAATTCAGCATACTGACCATAAGTATCCTAAAATAACATTATTAAGAAATAATGCATGTCACCACTGAAAATAAGAATGTTAGTCTCAAAAAGATCCTGGCTATGTTGATGAAAAATCAAACTCTATTTTGATCCCATCTTGGGCTCTGGTGGCTCAGTGTGTCAGGCACTGGCTTGCTAACCAGGAGGTCTCGGGCCCGCTCCCTGTGTTGAACAGCATCTCCTATTTCATGTGCAAGACTGAAAATGCAAGATGGCTTCCTTTTGTTTACCAAACAACAAGTGAATTAACTTTGAGCAACTCTCAACATATCTATTATGTATACAATGTGTAAACTCAACTGGTAAAAAAAACCCAATGTAATATATCATTCAGTAATGTTGAGTGTAGATTTAATTTTATGGATATTCATGGATATATCAAAATAACTTCACTACCATATCAGTATACAATAGGGAATATACATATGAATTAAATACATATTATGCCTGATGTTAGCCTACTGCTTACTTACTGTGCATTTAATCTGCAACTCTTCATGTCTTTTTCTAAGTTCTTCAGCAGTTTCATAAGAATCACCAATATCTGTTCTAGATGCTAAAAGCTTTTCACCTGGACCCAAAATCCAATTTACCACCTGAATAACAGAGACACAATTATTTTTAAATTCCAGACATTAAAATGAAAATCATGGCTGAATGCATATATATAGTGGTAACAAATAAAAATGAAGTGAACATAGAAATCAAGATAATCCATATTTGTAAAACAAAACATTTCTCATATCATAATGTCATTATTTAGCCTATTTTATTGCCTTTTTTCAGTGTGTCTGAATTTGAGGAAGTTGACTGTTATTATTGTTTGGCCGTCATGATCTGACAGGATATGTATATTCTATGGGGTTTATAGATTATTGTTAAATAGACATATATTTTTGGGGCCGTGGTGGCTCAGTGAGAAAGACATATGCTTTGCTAAATGAACCAAATGAATTATAGGAGTCATTTTCATATTAATGGGTATGGAGCGAAGTATAATTTGTAAGTATATTAAAAGAAAGTTGCCTAATACATTTGATGAAGTGTCTCTAAATTCAAGAAGGGCCTCTTATTATACTCTTGTATCAGTTACTCCTAGAGCACTGAATCAGAATTCAACACAAACTTACTGTTTTTATACTTCTTTTCCATTCTTCTGTCTGCATATTCATGTTTAGAGATTTATCCCGATCTTCTAGAAAATCTTGTAGTTTGTCCACCCGATTCTCTAGATATTGTATGACACGATTTACTTGTTTCTGTGCCTCTAGATTATCTAATGTACTAACAGATTCATTTCCACTGTGGAATCGACCATTACCTTTATCTTGTAAATGGGATAAAACATCTCTCCCTAAAAAAAAACAAATTTTAATTATTACAACTCTATCAAGAAATACAACAAAAATCTATTAGAGGTGGTATCAGGTGTTCCAGAACCAGTGAAAACTTAGGCTGCGTTTTTAAAATATGTTGTAGCAGGTTATGTGATACATGCAAACTTTGAGCAGTTTTTTTCCCAGGGCCAGTGTGACTTGAAAACTCTGATATTGGCAACATATAAATGATGCACAATATTAGATCTTTGTACGATCTGAAAAATATCTTTCTCTAGGGTTAGGGTTCGGGTTCAGGTTAGGTTTATAAATTACATGTCAAATGTACAAATTAAAGCTGTAACAACGGTGGATTATGGCTAAAACTATCCTGAAGGATTAGGGTTAGATTTGTGGGTATAAACATGGAAAGATATTTCTCTGATCGTACAAAGATCTAGTATCATGCATAAATGATGATAACTCTACCAATTTGTTTAGTGCTATTAATTTAATTTCTGAAACTACTAGAAAAGAGGAGAATAAGCGCTGGTTATCAATTAAGCTCATTTCTTACCCTGCCTTATAACTTCAGTAGGTGCAGTCATTATAGATTCTTGAAAATATCGATGTTCTCTTAAAGCTTCTAACGGACTAGCATGTGGATCTTTCATATTGTATGTTCTTTGTATTTTAACTTCTTCATTATCTAAATGTTGTACAATAGACTGGGCATCTCTCATAAACTTCTCTTGTTCCTAATAAAAAATAATGTAAATATATAAGTCCTACAGATACACTGAAAATTCTTTTTGAAAGTATTCGCACAGTAAGAATGAGGGAATGAAATGGGGTTAACATCCTACTGTACTGCTCCGACTGGACTAATGAAGTCACACGTAAGACATACAGTCACGGATTGGGCCATCGGGGGATCGGGTGATCGCCCGAAGGGCCGGTCGGGCAAAAAATAAAAAAAATAATTTTGCCCAATTCGTCTAAAAATCCTTTTTCTGCTGAACATTATCTGGGGGGGGGGTTATTGGACCGGCCATGGAGCAATGATGATCATGTTGTATGTGGATGGTGGCTTTAACGGGGCGCGACGCCATCACTGGAGTCTAGAATGGGCTGGTATAATAGACTTTCTGGGCCGGGTTTGCTGGGTGTGGGCCGGAATTTGGAATGGGGATTCCGAATTTCATCCGAAAATTTCATCGGATTCAGCCGACACTGTCGCCCGCAAATTTACTAATTATTAAATCACCTGCACCCTGCCAATGGTTCGTATATCAAAAAAAAATTAAATTTTAAGGCCTCAGCAAATTTTGGTGATAGCTGGTCTGCTGGCTGAATTTGACAAGAGATTATAATCAGATATACCACCAAATCGCATATTTGGGGTTCATTTTTCAAAATTTTCCCAGGGGAGAACACCCGGACCCCACGTCCGGGCTCCGCGGTCAGTAAAAGCGGCCGCTCCGACAGGGGAGCCCGGATCGGTTCCCGGCCCCAATCCGCCCCTGCATACAGTGAAATTTTGTCCAGACAGCATTTGAATTCCAACAGTCAAGGGTTCTTTTACATGCAAGCCAACTTATACAACCAGATGCTTTTCCATACCAGGCCCTTCATAGTGCACAACTGACTAGTGGAAACCATGCTTGAAAATCACAGGAAATTTTCTAGCACAGTAAGAACAAAAGTCTTGGAAAATAGGAATTTCTAGACTAACCTATAATAATACATTTATCTGACATAATGAGAGGGTGGCACTGGAAAGTAGATCTGTTTGGTTCCTAACAGATTTATGATTATCTTTTGTGGATTACCGAACATACACGTGATGTTTATTTTTGCACCATTTAACACTCAAGAAATATTGTAGCTTACAAAGGTGTTTGTAATTATTTACTGAGTCAATGAGATTGTGATTTTAAAATGTGACACCACCTTGGTTTTGGTGTGTGTGTTTGTTTTTGTTTTTTGGTGGTGTGGGGGGGGGGGGTGTTGTATAACTTCAAATTCTTCAATTTTAACTTCTCTGTTTAGGTAATACACAAGTAAACTTACAAGTCTATTTTGTAACCAAATACTATGATTGTATGTGAGATAACCTCCGACCTCTTCTGGTAATTGATTTCTATCAATACATGAATGAAGTTGACTCTCTACCACAAAACGAGGCTGAAAATACAATACAAATAAAATACACAATAAAAATACTCACATTATATCTGGTAAATCTACTATATGAATACTCAACTCAACAACCACAAATAACAATTTCAGAATAACATGCATGAAAAATACAACAATATCAACAGTAAAATATCTTTAAGTCTTTATTTTCTCCAGATTAGTTAATTTAGAATATAAATTTATTGTTGGTCTAAAATTATGAAATTAAAAGAATTAAACATGGCCATAGAATTAACTATACATTTCTCACCAAATGAATGAGACGTCTTGACCTTTCAAAATTTTGTCTTTATTGCATACAATCAATAATATAATTTTGTTTTAATATACTGAGATACATATGTCTCGTTCTTATCTAATACAGAATCTAATTAAAATAAATCTTAAAGATTAAATGAATGGATATATAATAGAATTAGAGAGAGAGATAAATAATATCTAAACTCCACTCAACACAAACTATGTCATTTCGGGACTAACATATTATGCTACATTTCTATATTGATGATTTATCTGCATGTAGGGGTCTTTGACAGTAGGAGGAAACCAGAGGACCAAGAGAAAACAAACATGGTTCGGCAGGTAATCTGACTCCTTGTCATGTACAAGTGTGGTGTCGAAACCATAACAGACCTTATGATCTAAAGTGAATGTGTTAGACCACTCAAACAGGATATATGAACATTGTAACAGTCAGGCCTTATGATCTAAAGCTCACTTATTAAACAATATATAAAGGGTATAATACCTGAATATTAACGCTATCTTTTCTTTGATTAGCTCTTCTATCATATTCCATTTGTAAAACATAAACTTCTTTTAAATAATCTCCTAAACATTGCTGAAAATGAATTATTTAATATAAAGTCAAATAAGTTACATATTGAGTTATTTATATGATAAATGGTATGTGTAAATTCATTAACTGCATTTATCGTGAAGATGTGTAAATCCACTATTTGTGTTCATCAATAAAAATTATCCCCATGTAGTATAATCATTATCTGAGTTTTTGTACAGAAATCAACATATGTAATATTCTGCTTGCAATCTATTAAAGGGGGAGTATATTTTGAACCACCTAGTTTTGTTTATCAGCGAATATACGCAAAAAGGTTAAGAATCTTGGCTATAGATGTGGTGTTCGATAGAAATCAATCTGAATTCAAAACTCCAATGCTACATCATTATGAACAAAATGCATAACTCTAAATTCAATGATGACAAACACCAACAAGAAAAATTTTGAATGTTCAACTGGATTCTGGTCCCCATGACTGTATATAAGGAACAGACAGCCAGGCAATCTCACTCAAGCCTGAAGAGTTCACAATGCATAGTATGTCTAGAATACAACTTACCCATTAAGAAAAAACACTACAACAAAGTCAATTGTTTGATGAAAACGTACCTTGAGACAACCGAGAACTGTAACTAAATTCGACCATGATCCATCTCTATTATCTATTATTATAGTAAAGCCTCGTCTCTTAGTTTCTTCACTACAATATAAATCATACATAATATTTCATGAATAATATTACATGTTGTATAGTTTCGCTTCAAAATAACTATTACAAAAGTATTTTAATACACTTCTTAATTATGTTTATGATGTAACAAAGGCCTGCGGAATTCATTTTCAGTCATTTGCTGTGCTGTTTTACTGGGGCTGCAAATCTGTACTCAATTTGATTTATGAAAGTTCAGTTGATTAAGCCAAATACAGGGCAAATTGGATATAGAAAAATTTAGAAATCTCAATATATTGGGTTAATGGTTTAAAGGGTTAAAACTGTAACCAAACATACCTTGGTATTTGTACTAAATATTTAAGACAAGTACTGATATCTTGATGTGTAACGTCTATACGAGTTCTATTACATGGAAATGTTATGATTGGACCACCTTCAGGATCTCGACCACCTAAATAACACACACAAAAATAAAAATCATTTGACAGCAGCACTACAGTCTACAGTTATTTTGAATTCCAACTATGCTGGGTTCTTTCACATGTGTACCAACGTGTACGTAGGACCTCTGTTTTTTCATCCCACCTGAATGACTAGATGGTGTTCCTTGCCATGCCCTCTATTATGTTCCACTAATAAGGGGAAAGCATACTGGAGAATACTATGGAACTTTCTCGGTCACCAACAGGATCAAACGTTGGGCATCCTGGTTAAAAAGCTAGCACCTTACCACTGAGGCACTTTTAGCAAGTCACATAAAACAAGAAGGGAATTACTTAAAGGAGTTACGTGAACTGATTAAGCATATCTATTGTTCACACCTAAACCACTCAATATCTTGATTTGAAATTTTCCAACAAGATAAATAGGCTATATCATTACATTTTGGCCTTTTGTTCTATCAACATACGAATAATTTGTAAACTTGATTCTGGTGAAAACATTTCAATTTGCTCACTAAGTCTAAATATGTTCAAGTTGTAATTAGAAACAGTCTAAATTTGGCCCTCAAGCCAACACATCCGAGTAAGCATCACTTAAAATACCTTCCAAATCCACGAAAAAGTAAAATACCCAAAAAGGTAAAATATTAGATTGCTAGCAGAACAATGGACAGGGGTATGAAATAACCCCTTTTATCAAATGGCTCATCAGAAATTTTCATAGGTTAAAAGTTTTAGCAGCCTCTCCACCATGAAGAGTCCAACTTACCTGTTAATACTACTGCTCCTGTTCTTAATGCTGGTAATATATCTTTAGCTTCCATCCCCCTACCTAATACACATTACACACAAACATAAAGTCAGAGTAAACAAAAATCAGAGTAAAACTTCATCTAATCAAAAACAAGTGCGGATTAATCATCAGCGAATTTCTGGTGTAGTCAGAACTTCTCACTCCTAATTTAATGAAGTTGGGAATACACTATTCAGTGTGCTATGAGGGAAATGTACTACAGTGGTATTTCCATCTAATCTTTTTCAAATCCTTACTGTCAAGGGTTCTTTTACGTACACAGTAACATGTACACAGGTCCTCAATTTTTCAAACCATTCGTACCTCCGTCCTGCAGCACTGAGGAACTGGAGGAACTTTCTGGACCAACACTAGGATCGAACATAGAACCCTCTCGCTAGTGAGCCAGCACCTTATTCACTGAGCCACCTTTGGAAGGAAGGTGAACTATTAAGTTAGTGTGAAACATAGCATTCTAATATTTCCTTAGAACACCCTTGACAAACTGTACTGTATCTGATAATTGACCAATGTGATTTTGATTAATAAATTGAAATGGTCAGAAAAACTTCAATGCAAATAAAGTTTTGATACCACGTAAAAAAGTGTTTTAATCCGCCCTTGTTAATGATATCTTTTAAAATAAAACAAAGAGAAATAATAGTCATTGCATTTAGTCAAGTTACTGACTTCAAATCTTTAGAAATACAGTGCTTTAATAAGAGATTAAAACAAAATAACATTTTAATATCTATATTCAGTTGAAATATACTCCTAATGAGTAAAATGTAATAAGTAAGACATAAAAAATTAAAAATTGAGTAAACAAGAAGAAATTCTAGTTACGAGATTCATATAAAAAGACTAAACAGTAAGAAACTTTAATTTAGTAACAGAGAAACACAATAATAGAATACACAATCAGGGCCGTAACTAGCTCAGAGCAATGAGGGCGGGAAGTGTTCTCAGGGATGCTGTAAAATTGACGGACAATATATATCTATGGTTGACAATTTTTATAGGGGGGGGGGGGCGAAATCTTTTGATACCCCCGCCCTAGTTACGAGCCTGCACACAATATTTATGGGAAACAATGACTGATTTTGTTCTAAAAGCACAACTTCACCATAAATAATATATATATATTGACCTTGACTTTACTAAGTGTGCACTTGATAACAATAAGAGGATACTTGTAGTTGAAATGTCATACTTTTGGAATAAAACCAGTGACAGTTTTTCATTTTGTATTGTGTTCTGTTAAGGAATCTATTTTACAATTTTTACAATGCTTTTCAAACCAGATATCAAGAACAGATGACAATAATATTTGTTTTTTTGTTTTATTCAATCATACCTCCAATAAGGTAGCCATATATACTGCTACCAGTTGTACTTCTTCTGTCTTGGCCATTCTGTTGACTTCTCACACTCCCCTCTCTAACTTGGAGACTCCGTGAGGATACACGTCTGTCACTTCTCTGGGAGGGGCTAGGGGATGGTGGGACTTGTTGACGGTAGGCCATCCCTTTTTAGTACCTGAAATTTAAAATATCAAAACTTATTTCACGATCTAAAATCATATAAAAATATCCCAATCTGGTTAAAACACAGATCCTTTTTCGTTTCGTTTTTATAGTTCAAAATTTCGTTTTACTTGTCTTTACTACACTTGGATCTGGAAGAGTTGTTATTGAACTCGTGTTCTGAATGGTGTCAGGGATAAGCCAATGAAACGGTCTGTTACGGCGAGCTTTAGGCGTGTTTTTCACGGAACTGTGGGTAATCCACTAGTAACATCAATGCTGATTGGTTAATCAAATGTCTGATGTCATAGGGTCATAAGTCGGTCTTTTGACCCCAGACGTGACCTATCGCTATAACTTGTCAGATCTTCATGTAGTGTAGGCCATCGAAAGTATAAAAAAACGAAACGAAATATAGATCTGTATTTTAATCAGATTGAAAAATATCCCAACCAAATTAACTATTGGATATCATATAAAAATATCCTAACTAAATTAACAATTGGACATCATATAAAAATATCACAGAAACAATAAAAAAAACTGACAATGACCAAAATCAAAAACAACTATAATTAAACTATATACATCTTTCTGTACTTGCATTTTTCCAATAATTATTTACTTTCATTTATTGATGTACATGTTTGTTATAGTAAATATGCTGTGGCTGATCAGGTGACTCCAGTAAATCATGATATTTAGATACCATTTGTACAAGTATCTGTTGAGTCCAAAATGGAAGATTTCTAACACATTACTTCAACGTTATATAACTTATAACTAGCTTTATATAATATACGTTCGTTTATTTGTTACATGTATATTTGTTGTATTGTATTAATGTCATTTTTGTAATTGTATGCTGCTCCTCGTGGACGTTTTCCATGCAATAAATTCACTTACTTACAGAATGGAAGATTTCTAACACAATACAAAATGGAGGATTTGTAACACATTACAAGATGGAGGATTTGTAACACATTACAAGATGAAAAGATTTATCACTGGACAAAAAACAGAGCAAATACAACTCATTTTTTAAATTTGCTCACGTTAAGGTTAGAACTTTTACTATAACACTGATGTTAGAACTTTTACTTTAACGCTGATTTGATTTTATAACTTTACTAGAACACGGACTACACCTGCGATAATGCAATGTCCTACACAAGGAGATTCCTGAAACCGAAATTCTTCTACAATGAACCTGTCTATAGTAAAAACCTAATGTACAATTTTTGCAGTGAAAGTGATGCATTCAAAAATAAAGAATTAAGACAACAGACATAACCAACCAGTCCAGTGGCATCGTGGGATGGTTGAGGCAAAAGGGTCAAGATTTTGTAACGGCCCCCCATTACATGCACACACAAGCATGATTCTGATCTTATTCATGTAAAACACAAGCATCACTGTAGAGCAGTGATAGGCTTTAATGGAATATACTTTTTATTCTTTTAAAAAAAAAACAGGTTTCATTCATTATACTTTGTCCATAACAAGCAAATGAGTAGCACTATTCGCACCATGTATAAGCATCTGCTTATGATGACATTTACAAAAGCTTCAATTCAAATTCATCAATAATACATGTATACACCTGTATGATATGTATGTTACGCATGTAAACACACTCCTTAACCTTATCTTATATATACATTATATATGAATATATACCAGGAATCAATGTATATAGAGTGCATTTGTTAATACTATTGTTGTAGTATACAATATTTAACCTAGTTCAATAGTATTGTGTATGAACTTTATACATGTGTACATGAAGAGAGGTGTTGAAGAGGGGGTGAGAGGTTATGTGTGTGATAATCAAATCTCCTGGTTAGTAAGCGAACGCCATACTCACTGAACCACCGTGGCTCCCCACAGAATTGTTGCAGTCAGGTAACTTATAGTGCTTCCTTAAGTAGGGAATGGGGTGGGGAGTGACCAAATGGTTTAATGTGTACGCTTTACATCATAAGGTCTGTCATTAAATCAAGTGGTGTGGTTTAAGTCCCACACTTGTACTTGGTCAGGAGCAGGGTCGCATGCCTAGCCCTGTGGGTTTTCTCTGGGTCCTCCCACTTTAAGACCCTAAGTTTGTGTTGAGTGGACCTTAAACCCCATTTCTATCCATTAAGCCTCTTTATGTCAACAGGATTACATTGAATTGTACAGTTTTGTAGAACAATATCTACTTTATAATACAAAACAATATTCAGTGGTAAGCCATCTTTAAAATCAATAGCTAATATACAAAGTGTATATTATTCTATGTATCTTAACACTTGAAAATTATTAGTTACTATTAGAAAATATCCATTACCAGCTTACTAATATCAACAGAGACATCGATACCGTAAATATAATGAAGGTGGAGTTGATAATACAATAATACAGATATATAAATTTATCAATATATTCTCAGAGAACAGAAAATATTGGTTCTCATATTGCGATTTTGCTTCAGAAAGGGAAACAAAAATCAATATATTCTCAGAGAAGAGAAAATATTTGGTTCTCATATTGTGATTTTGCTTCAGAAAAGGAAATAAAAAAGAATTTGGTTTAAGGGCCATACAAAATTTTTATACACATTTTTCAAAAATCCCAGTAAATTTGAGAAAAAAAGTCGCAGAAACTCTTACCATGATTTCAAGGTTTTGATGACAAAGGCAATAACTCCAAATCTAAGATTTTGGCATTGAATTTTGATATGGTTTATACTTATACTATGAGCAACTACAAGGTTTTGATCACAAGAGAAATAACTCTGCATGTAACTGATGTACAACTCTTAGTCTTAAGTTTGATAGATTTCATATTTACCAGCCAAGTAAAAACATAAAATCTAAATAACTTTTACTTATAGCTTGAAAACGAACTGTTAAATTGTAGAACTGTATAAGGTTTCTATGACAAGGAAAATAACCAAGTAAATAATTCTGGAAGGACCATCCTTACTGATATTCGAACAGTCCCAGGTAGTATGAATTTTAAGAATGAAATGAAATGAAATGTTGTTTAACGTCCTACTGTTCTGCTCCAACTGGGCTGATGAAGGCGGGCATACGCCATATAGGGTGCCATGAGGGAAATTTTGTATCGAATTCCAACTATCAAGGGATCTTTTATGTGCATGCCAATGTGTACACGGGACCTCTGTTTTTCAGTCCATTCGAATGACTAGATAGTTGTCTTTGTCAGGCTCTCCGTCCTGCACCACTGACAAGGGGAAACCACCTGGAAAATCCTGATGAACTTTCTCGGTCAACACCGGGAGCAAACACATCTTACTCCCTTAGCCACCATGGCTCCCCGAATTTCAAGGACACCGATCTGTTAAGCAATAAAAAAAGTTTCTATGATATGTGGAGGAATAAAAAATATTTAATCATGAATGTATATAATTGCATCATGAAAGTAACTGTAATCCACGAATGTAATCGTAATCATATCATCAAAATATGCAATCAATTGTAATTTTATGATAAAACTAATTCTAATCATAAAAAGTAATCTATCTATCCTTGGTCAAGTAAAATCATAAATATTTTAACTGGGCTACGTTAACCTTATAATATGACCTACTATACTCTTTAAACAAAGTCCCTTCTATTTCAAACTTATTTTAAATACTTAACGTATCAACACACATGATGGTAGTGCAGGAATGTAATCTTCAAACAGTTGTTTTTTATATCTTATAAGGAGTCATATACCAAACCACTGTGTGAAATATGACATTTACTATAACTTTCTACAGTATCCCTTGTTTAGATGTCTATATGTCTCTGAAACAGTGATATACAACTAACCAACACCTCCACATATTGCAATCCCCATCGTGCCATTCCAACACATTCTGATTTCTGGATGATGTTTCTATAGGCATGAGTGTCCAGTCAAATAAAGTAGGGTAGGAGGTGTTGAGTGGTCAAACGTGTGTGCTGTAGATCATAAGGTCTGTCATTGAGTCGAGTGTCATGGTTTCGATACAGGATTGTACATGACAAATAGTAGTAGGGACACCAACCTAACCTAGTAAGTTGTCTTTGAGTTCTTGGAATTCATCCTACAAATAAAAAATCCCACGCACATGTAAATTATTAAAAGACACCATATGTTAGTCCTGAAATGTCCTTGTTTGCATCAAATGGACATCAAACCCCATTTCTCTCTCTCCTATAAAATATTAATCGATAATTTTCATTAAAACATTTTCAGTACAAAAATCACTGAAAAGATCAAACTTCTTCTTAAAATTAGGGCCATAATTTCAAGTTATAGAAATTTGATATACTATGAAAAACAAGTCTAGTCAGATGTGTAGGTATAATATTATATTCCATATTCAAGTATACATAAAAAGAAGTAACATAATTCAAAGTTGAGGTCATGAATATTTCCTTATTGCAACCACTGAGTGAACTGCTGTTTACCTGTCTGCATTAAACTATGAATAAAATTCACTAACCGTGAAGATCTTGTTAGGTTTTTGAATTGAGATAATATTATTATAACATGAATAATAATGTATGTAGATCTTGTGTATTAAGATGTTATATATAAGATATTGTTAGCACATTGGAAATAGTTTAATAATGGGCATATGAAAATATTTTTCTCCCATTTCACTTTGCTGGAGATTCTTCTTGCCAACTCATTTAGGACAAGGGTTGTTAAATGCAGAATTGTCTAATGCATCCGCTTTAAACCATATAAGGTCTGTCATGAGGTTGGAATTGGGTTTGGATTTTTGGCAGGTTTCCGGATTTTATTCCACTGCTAAAGGCCCAACGTGCAAGTAAATTATTAAAATAAAGGTGTACCATATTTATGTTAGTCAAGAAATGACAGTTTATTTAGCATAGATGTTAAACACATTTTCTATTGTATAAAAATGTGTTTTTAAATGTCTTCATCAGTAAGATCGAACTCTAAAAATGCTAGTTATTCGGATGAAATGGAAACCCCAGATTACAATGTGAAAAAGAGTAGACATTTCAT